TATTTTACAATAAACGTAAAACATGTTGTTTCTACAGATACAATCAACAATGGTTTTATGTTTTGCCATTAATTTGATTGTCATTCGCAATGCATCATAGGAATGTAGTTCTTTCCAAAGCTGTCAAGTACACAGTCATGTGTTTTAGTACAACTTTCAAATGCTTTTTTACTTTGAATCAGTGTTTGGGTAAAGTTTCACCTAAAACCTTTTACGTATAATGCATTATTAAGGTGTGCATAATGTACGCTGTAATGCATTATATCTTTTCATAATTGTGCATTATCTTACATTGTCTTGTGTTTTAATGCGTTATACTTTCTAAAGGTGTAATAACGGATAGATCAGTATTATAACTATGGTTACAATTATTCATCAGATCATAAAATGCATTATAAGGTGCATTACAAGGAGTAATTAATGCATTAAAAGATTTTTATAATGCATTATATATAAAGGCTATTTTTTTAAACTATTTTTATAATGCATTATATGTAAGTAAAGTGTTAACCAAGTTTGTAATGTTGCGATTCTCCTTTTAGCAGGTTGGTGTGTTTCATGGCTTTTTTAATGCTAAGACTTTTCTGGAAACGGCACCTATTCGGCCAAATGCGTCCAGCGCCGTCTGGATGAGCTTCTCACCGTCTTCCACTGAATCTGTGAGAAGAAGAAACCAGATCATCATGAACACACATGTGAATCACAGGTATGTTACTGCGCTTCAGAGCTGGAATGATTCATCACCGACCGTAATTGGCCACGGCTTTGCCTCCTTTAGCTCTGATCTCCTCCACCACTTTATCAGCGGCTGCTGAGCTCCTGCCACCTCCTTTAATATCTCCTCCCAGATCATTGACTGTGTGAAGAACAGAGAGTGAATCGTGAGTCGCGACTCACTTGAACTGAATCAATGATCCGATCAGAGCGACTCACCGATGACAGCGGCTCCTCTCTGACCGAACGCCAGCGCATATTCCCTCCCCAAACCTGCGAAACACACACGATTAACATGATTATCATCATTATCTGAGTGATTTATGGATGCCAGTCTTATCTAAACTGAATCACACCATCATGAGCAAAGAGTCATTGACTCTTATCTGCTGTTTGAACTTTGATCGACACAGAAACGCTGCATCACTGCCAAACAACACGTTTAAGTACTTAAAAAAGGCCTTTAAGCTCAATATTCAGAGCAAAATAATGCACGTTGATAAATATAAAACATCTATATTAATGCGTCAGCCGTAACTTGCACAACAAAATGTAAATAATACAGAAGATTCTCGGTTTGGTGCTCAGAAAGCGTCTGTCTGATGCATTAACGCATGAAACTTCTGCAACACTCATTATATCCCTCTATTAATGGATTAACATATTTGCATTATGTGCATAAATGCGTGAGTTTATGATGATAAACTGACCTCCTCCGGCTCCGGTCACCAGCACGACTCTGCCGTCGAAACTCAAAGGCGCTGACATCTTCAGATGATGTATGTTGTTTGTGTTTACGATGATTGAGGTGATGTGTTTTTTGCTGTGAAAGTCTGCGGATCCGCCGTGACTTTTGCCCCACTTCCGCAAACGGCGCGGTGACGTCACCGAGCAGCGGCCAATCAGATCCGCGCGTCTTCACTCCACCATGCGGCACGTGACTCTTATTTGTAAGCGCGTTATATTTATAGTGATGAATAATGCTGAATATAAACAGTCACAGCTGATGTTTGAGCTGCTGTTTTACAGTGTCAGTGAGAGTGTTAATGTGTAAAATTGTGAAATCGCCTCTGAGTGATGTGAGGAATATTTACATAAATTTGAATGTATTATTTGCATATAACCTACAAAAGCATATAGCTGATAGTCATATTGTATAGCGCTTTGATAGAAACTATTATTTTATAATTCTTTGTTAGATGTAAGTTGCGGGAGTAAACACCTTTTCTCTTTTAAAGCCCCGCCCTCTAAATCGACCTCAGCCAACCCGATGTCAGAAACCCCTGCACCCAAGATGACTGACAGGCAAAGAGCGTTTCTGATTGGCTGCCAAAGAATCGTGTGTTCTCACAGAAACGAGTGTAATTTTGTTCGCCACCTGTTTTACTGACATCTATCAGATAATAAAGACATTTTGCATGTGATATATTACAAAAAAAGAAAAAAATGCATCATAATAATCTGGTCTTTAATCATGTTCTGAAAACGTTAGCACAAAAATGGTAATTATACATGGTTCATGGAACATTTCTCTGAAAATTTTAGTTGATTCATCTAACGTCAACGTTACTTTCTATGTTCAGAGAACATTCAAAAGCAACATTCCCATAATGTTTGCAAAATGATCAAATGGAATGTTCCCTTAAAGGGGTTACATTGTCTTCTTCTCACTATAGGCCCCGCCCACTGTTTCCTATGCATTGACGGTTTGCAAATCATAACAGTGGCTGATTACTGAGAAGCCTTAAAGGACACGCCCCTTAAAGGGGTCATATGATGCGATTTCAAGTTTTCCTTTCTGACGGTTTGCAAATCATAACAGTGGCTGATTACTGAGAAGCCTTAAAGGACACGCCCCTTAAAGGGGTCAATTGATGCGATTTCCAGTTTTCCTTTCTCTTTGGCGTGTTACAAGCTGATTGTGCATATATAAGATCCCTAAAGTTGCAAAGACTAAAGTTTCAAAACGAAAGAGATAATCTTTATCAAAGTTAACGGCTCGTTCTAACACGCCCCCACATATCTACCTCACTATGTGGAAATATTAGCCTAATGCCGCCCAACTTTATTAACATAAGTAAACCTCAAGGAACATTTTAAAATAATCAAAAATCCATGTCATGACCCCTTTAAGAAAACTGGCTTTAAATCATTTTAGATTAGTTGATGACTTACAAATTGTAATTTGTTACTGATTTCGTACATGTAATCAGCTACTGCTGATATGATTTCTGATATGATTTCTGTATCATTCAGGATCCATGAGGGCTCCAGCATCAGCGCGCATGCGCGTGTGGACGCGTCGCGCAGCTCGAGACATGCGTGATCTTCATGAGCAGACGCGCCGCACAGCCGTGACGCGCTCCGCTGCGGAGGATGTCCGTTAGCGCGGCGGCGGCGGCGGCGGCGGACGGAGGCGTCAATAAAGTCCAGGTCAAGCGACAGATCAGGTGCATCGTGAAGGATCTCGAGAACATCTTGGGAGACCTGAAGGATGTGGCGAAGGAACTCAAAGAGGTGCGTGCCGAGCGTTATAAGCGCTGAGTATGATGATGATGATGATGATGATGATGATGAGCTCATGTCCATCGAGGCCTCGTGTAAACCTGTAAACATGACATTTACTCTGATGCTCGACATCATCATCATCGTCACAGACCTCTGGGCTTCATTCGTGTGAGTCAGATTCAAAGATTCGACTCTTATGTGATTGACAGCTGTCACTCACTCACTCAGGATATTAACTAGACTAGAGCAGCAGCATTCCCAGTCTGCTCTTATGTCTCATATTAAACATTTACGCCATGAAACAAGACAGATGAGTCAGGATGCGTTTTATGATCTCTGTTCAGCAGTTCGCAACATTGTTTCAAAGCAGCTTTACAGAAAACCGTGTTAATGTTAATAATATCTTAATATCTTCATGCATTATAGTCGCATTTATCAGATTAGAGCTGTGCATTAAAAGAGTTACATTTTGCGATGATATAAACAATCAGATGAGATTCTTTACAAAAGTGTACTGTATGAACCAAAGAACGTTCCCATTAAGTTATACAACTTTCGGAATGTTCTCTTAAAGGGTTTTCAAAATGTTTTTCTTGGTTATATGAGCGTTGATAGCATCACGGAGACGTCTGCATTACATCTGCAAGACGTGTTTTTTAGAGTGTTTGCTCATCTGCAATACATCTATAGGACGTCTGCTATCAGATGTCAAACAGACGTTTATTAGATGTCTTTAAGATGATTTAAAACTGACGTCTTACAGACGTGTGTCAGATGTTTGTACACAGCAGATGCTTTCCAGATCCAGTGATCTTTAACAGACCTCTTGCAGACGTACGTGTGCTTTCTTACATTTGATCATTTCCAAACATTATGGGAATGTTACTTTTGAATGTTCTCGGAACGTTCTGAAACAAGTAACATTTAAAAAAAATAAAACATTATGCAAACATCCAACTTAAGCCGTTTAAGGAAAATAAACGTTCCGCGAACAACGTATAAATAACATTTCTGTGAACATTATTCAAGTTACTTTGAACGAACATTACTGGTTCATAACTCAGAAGAGCATTCGCTGTTAGCTGGGTGTGTGGGTAAAACGTTCTCCGAATGTTCTGGCAAGGTTCTCTTAACGTTATGAACAATTGTTCTCCCAGTAACATTAATAGAACATTTGTTCAAAGGTGCATGTTCTCAAAATGCATCGCACAGAAATGTTACACATCGTTCTAACATTTTTTTTAAATGTTGCTACTTGTTTCAGAGAACATTCAAAAGTAACGTTCCCATAACGATTGCAAAATGATAAACTGAAATGTTCCCTTAATGTTTGCATAACCAAGGAAAAAAACGTTCAACGATGTTTTGAACGTTCAGACATAATGTTTAACGAGAACATTAGCAGATCATATTGTTAGCTGGGAAACTGCGTATACTTCTCGTAGCTGTAGATTGGAGTTATGGATTTGTATTGTTTGTTCAGGATTATGATCGAGTCTGAAATGTTTGCAGCTCTTCATCACGTACAGTATCTGTTCATCATGATGATGCTACAGTATTTATGGAAACACAAGTTATGAACCAGCAACGTTTACAGAACGTTTGTTCAAAGTTATCTGGTCTTTAATAATGTTCTCAAAATGTTACCACAAAAACATTACTTATACACAGTTCTAAAACTGAAATGTTTTAGTTGGACGTTTTTTAAATGTTGCTACTTGTTTCAGAACATTCAAAGAACATTAAACTGTAGCGATCCCATAATGATTGCGAAACGATAAACCGGAATGTTCCCTTAACGTTCATATAACCAAGAAAAAAACGTTTATAAAAACAATTTAAAAAATGCACATTTGAACGTTCAGAAATAACTTAATGGGAACGTTAGAAAAACTATTGTTAGTTTGGAACATACAGCACACTCTCAAAAAGTGATATATCGCAAATCTCATCTGCGTTATTGTTTATATCACCGCAAAATGTAACTATATTATTGCACAGCTCTAATCTGATAAATGCGACTCGAAGGCATGAACATATTATAAATATTAGCATCATGGTTTTCTGTAAAGCTGCTTTGAAACAATGAAAACACGAGATCATAAAACTAGTGGTCGACCGATATTGTTTTTTTGACAGCCGATATCTTAGAGCATGGTGGCCGATATCATTTTAATTTATTCTAATTAATATTTAAAAAATTTGAAATAATTTTAAAATGATATATGTGTAAAATAAGCATACTTATACTTTAGATGACAACTACTTGATTCTTGTAATCCTCAAAATAAAAGTTCCACCTTGAACACATCGGCCAAACAGAAAAACTTATCGGCCGATATTTGGCATTTTTCAAATATCGGTATCGGCCGATAAGTTTTTCTGTTTGGCCGATGTGTTCAAGGTGGAACTTTTATTTTGAGGATTACAAGAATGAAGTCGATATATCGACCTTGGCAATATATAGGTCGACCACTACATAAAACACATCCAGTTATATCGCAGTTATACAGTGCTGGCCAAAATCATTAGAACACTAGTATTTTCAGCAGCTAAAAATGTGTTTAAGTCAGTTATTTCTATCGTTTGCTGTAGTGTGTCAGTAGGAAATATCAGTTTACATTTCCAAACACAGACAGACAGACAGATAGATAGATATAGGGTTCTCAGTGTGGTTGCTAGGGTGTTGCTATGCAGTTGCTAGGGTACCCAGGGTGGTTGCTAAGGCGGTTGCTAGGGTACCCAGGGCGGTTGCTAGGGTGTAGCTATGCAGTTGCTAAGGTACCCAGGTCGGTTGCTAGGGTGTTGCTGTGCGGTTGCTAGGGTACCTGGGGTGGTTGCTAAGGTGTTGCTATGAGGTTGTTCCAAACATTAATTTGGCTATTAATTGTAACAATGCAGTGAGATTTATGTTTGTGCTGCACACAGAGATCTGATCTGATCATCATCAGTCTGTCTGGAGTCACATGAAGAAACAGAACAAACTGAGACAGACTCAATCCAGAAGAACTGATGCTTCGAGAAACCTCCTGCAAAGCTCCTGAGAAACTCTGCTCAAGTGCACCGAGGGCAAAAGCTGCTTTAAACACAAAGATGCTCACACCAAATGTTGATTTCATTTAGTTAATAGAAGCTAATTGATAAAGAAAATCTATTTATGACATTATTGACAGCATCCTCATTTTACATCATTTTTACACAAGTGATAGATAGATAGATAGATAGATAGATAGATAGATGCTAAGGACCACAGAGTGGTTGCTAGGGTATTCTAGGTGGTTGCTAGGGTACCCAGGGTGGTTGCTAAGGCGGTTGCTAGGGTACCCGGGGCGGTTGCTAGGGTGTAGCTATGAGGTTGCTAAGCTACCCGGGTCGGTTGCTAGGGTGTTGCTGTGCGGTTGCTAGGGTAACTGGGGTGGTTGCTAAGGTGTTGCTATGAGGTTGCTAGGGTACCCAAGGTGGTTGCTAGCGTGTTGCTATGTGGTTGCTAGGGTGCCCGGGCGGTTGCTATGGTGCTGCTATGCGTTTGCTAGGCTACCCAGGGTGGTTGCTAAGGTGTTCCTATGGGGTTGCTAGAGTACCTGGGGCAGTTGCCAGGGTGCTGCTATGTGGTTGCTAGGCTACCCAGGGTGGTTGCTAAGGTGTTGCTATGCGGTTGCTAGGGTACCCAGGGTGGTTGCTAAGATGTTCCTATGTGGTTGCTAGGGTACCTGGGGCAGTTGCCAGGGTGTTACTAGCATGTTCTTAACATGATTAGCATGTTGCTAGCATCAAACTTTTCACAGTACTGTAGCTTTGCAGGAGGTTTCTTGTAGCGTCTCGGAGACACAGTTCTTCTGGATTGAGTCTGTCTCAGTTTGTTCTGTTTCTTCATGTGACTCCAGACAGACTGATGATGATCAGATCAGAGCTCAAATCTCACTGCATTATTACAATTAATGGCAAAATGTATGTTTGGAAATGTAAACTGATATTTCCTACTGACACACTACAGCAAAAGATAGAAATAACTGACTTAAACACATTTTTAGCTGCTGATAATACTAGTGCTCTGATTTTGGCCAGGACTGTGTAACGGATGGTGTCTCTAGAGCACCTGGTTTCTTGTGCACGTTCATCTCGTCTCACGTCGGACTCTTCTCAGGTGGTTGAGGAGATCGACTGCCTGACGTCTGATCTCCGTCTGGAGGAGGATCTGACGGACAGCTCCAAGACGGACACGCTCAACAGCAGCTCCAGCAGCACCACCACAGCCTCCAGCGTCAAGATCTACCCCGAGGAGACGCTCTTCAGACCTCCAGCCGTCCTCACCGTCCTGAAGAGACCCACGCCGCCGGTTCCTCCGCCCCGGAGCACTCCGTCCAGAGCCGAGGAGATCCCGCTGATGCAGAGCGGAGTGCCCAGCAGAGACTCTGCGAAGAGCCTCGGCGAGAGCCGCTGTCCTCAGACCACGAGAGAGCGAGTGCGCTTCAGCGAGAAGGTGCAGTATCACGGCTACTGCCCAGACTGTGACACGAACAGCACAGAGCTGCACTTACACACCGAGCTGATCGACGCCAAACACAGTCCCGTCCATCAGTGCTCCGAGAACGGCGGCCTCGCTTTCCCCTCGCAGAAACCACACAAGACCATTTTACGCAAGTCCACCAGCACCACCGTTTGACGCAGACCGAGGCTGAACGAACTTCTCTTTATAGTTTCCTTTTGTTTGGAGAGGAGACAGAAGGAGAGTGTTGAACGGTAAGAGCTTTCAGAATCAGGAGGCGACAGCCATTTGTGACCACAAAACCAGTCATGAGGGTCAGTTTTTTTAAATTGAGGTTTATGCATCAAATATTTGAAAATCTGGAATCTGAGGGTGCAAAAAAATCTAAATATTGAGAAAATCGCCTTTAAAGTTGTCCAA